CAATCACATTGTAAAATCAGTATGGCACGGTGAGTGTGTATGGACAGTCACATGGTAACATCAGTATGGTACGGTGAGTGTCTATGGACAGTCACATGGTATCATCAGTATGGCACGGTGAGTGTGTATAGACAGTCACATGGTAGTGATGGTGTGGTACCTCGATCATGTATGGGTAATCAAGCGATAAGTACTGGCATGGACTTGTCCTGGTTTATGGACAGTGATTTAATACTTACTGGTATGGTACCGTGTCGACAGATAAAAGGTCACATGACAAGTAACGGTATGACGGTTTAATAACAGTTGTATGTTGCGGTACAGATAATGGAATGGCTGTGATTCATCCTTCCTCTCTCCACAGAAAGTGCAGTGTGACTGTTGAAACACTATTTAAAGAGTACATATGACTGTAGTTCCGCACTCCCTATTGGGTTTACTAGAGTTTATCTCCCTCTCTAGGGGGATTGTGGAGAATCTACCAGCCATTTGCTTTGTCCGACCGTTATTAAATAAGCACGACCTTTAGGCTGGTCCCCTGTCTGGGCGACGTTAGTGGATTTCCACGAAATCTTATTACCCGAATGGCTAATGTTTGACTTCTTCACAGACTTGCTTTATTTCTTGCCTGTTAAATCGGCTTTCTATTAGAAGTATTTCTTCACCGAGCGATAACAACATGGAGTCTGTATACGTTTTGCTTTGTTGACGTCAGAACTGGACAGTCAGCAATATCTCAGCTCAACTGTTAAAAGTGTTGCCAGCTTACTTGTCGTTTTCTGAAAAATATTTTTTATTTTTGCCTTCAGATGGTCATTCTGAATATTTGTGTATGTAGTGATAAAACTAATATACATACCTTTAAAATATCAGCAATTAGCTAAAATATGTCTTAAAAATACTGAACCGTAATCTTGCCTGAACCATGTCGTTATTCTGTATAATATTTGTAAATGTACTTTTAACCAATCAAACATTCTATAAACTTTGTATCAAAACATTATAGATCGTATTTATTCTGGTGGACTATCACCTCCCGAGAATGGCCGTTAACTTGTAGCTAGAATGAAGTCTGACACGGTATACACGAAGTCCTAGTTAACAAATAAATTATCTTTTCTAGCTAAAAGTCGTAAACTTGTTACCATATAATGGGGTTTTATACTTGTTACCATTTAAAGGGGTTTTATACTTGTTACCATATACAGGGTTTTTATACTTGTTACCATTTAAAGGGTTTTTTATACTTGTTATCATATAAAGGGGTTTTATACTTGTTACCATTTAAAGGGGTTTTATACTTGTTGCCATATAAAGGGGTTTTATACTTGTTACCATTCAAAGGGTTTTTATACTTGTTACCATTTAAAGGGTTTTTATACTTGTTACCATTTAAAGGGGTTTTATACTTGGTACCGTATACAGGGGTTTTATACTTGTTACCGTATACAGGAGTTTTATACTTGTTACCATATAAAGGGGATTTATACTTGTTACCATATACAGGGGTTTTCTAGGCAATTTTCCCTTTTCTCCGTATTTTACCAATCTTTCATAACACTGTAGACAAGTTATCATTTAAACTCTTTAGACCATTGATTGCCACCGATGCATCTTAAAGGACGACGACATGGTCATATGATGTAGTGAAAGGTTGTTTTTGTTTTCCTTCCTGCATGGACAAACTTTGAAATAGATGCTTCCTTACTATAATCATTTCTAATAATAATTTTATCGAATACGGATTTGTCTTACTTATATATATTCTCCCGAAAGGACACTAATAACTTTACAAATATTTTATTAGAAATCAATATACAAAATAAATCCTACATCCTGACCAGATAAATCACACATAACAGATTCCATGCATAACCTCCTAGAATTTTATTCTTTTGAAATTACAAAAATATATCTTTTACAGTCTACTATTCAAAGTTGCTGGGGACACGCTGAAAACATCCTAGTTTTCCCTTTTCAAGTCCATCCTAAAGTACACTGACGTAATCTGGGGCAACATACTTAAACTCTGAACAAACAAACAAGATAAATATAATTTGAACATAATTATTAAGAAACAGTTTATAGCTTATGGTATTTCAGGGGCTACCATACAAATCCTGATAAAATGATAAGGCCATACACCGAAATTGGTTGAAATTAACTTATAGTACGTAAAATTCTGCAAAAACTAATACAATTAGTTCTATCTTAACACTCTAGGGTATCTACCTGTATCCAAACCAGCTAATGAAGACCTTCATACTAGCACGAGACAATCAGGTGTTGCAAACCTCACACCCATACAATGTAAACCTAATGCATATTTAAGATTGTTTTTTTCCAAACTGTCAACAGTTCCTTTCCAACAAATATACAAAGTAAACCACCAATTTCTCTATTTAAGAAAATCTTCTGGTAAAGCAAACTGGAGATTTTAATCTTTGTTATTTTAACGACGGTCATGATCAGGTCAAATACTGTTAGCGGACTCAAATTTAAGCGTATTATCGAATTTAAACAGATCAGCCTATTGATGAATTGACGCACTGGTACTCACAGTATGTGCAAACAAATATATACACAATTTTTGATAAGCACAGCTTTAATTAAGCGCAATATTTAGAGTGCGACGAAAACCGCTAACATTAAAATACCTCTAAAACTTGTTCGTTTTCAGTATACCAGCTCAACTCAATGATCAACAAGAGAATATCGAAATGTAAACAAAATCATATTTCTAATTCAACAACGATAAACCTGGGCCAAACTATGCACAAATGAATGATTAACATGGGTCCATAAAAAAGGACAAGGGGAATGAGACCAGGTGTTCCGGTAAGGTAAGCGTCTTCTGCTTCATCGACAACATCCGCCATGTAATCTAGGTCACATCTTAGTGATGTCACGTCCTTGGTTGGTTGGTTGGTTCAAGGGTTTACACTTCACTGACGAAGTCGGTGTTCGGTCGACTTGAGGGGGTAAGTTGGCGCTTACCGGGCCCTCGGAAATCCTGCCCATCCAGGTCACGCTGTGAGGTCGGACAGCTCCTCAAATGCGAACAGGCTGTCGCAGCAGCTGTGGTCCACGGAACGATGTTCTTCTAGTAGTCCCCGCTGCCCTCCTATGTCACGTCCTCACATCGGGTCTCATGTAGTGAGGAACAAAACCACAAGGCATACTAGTTTGCATAATCGAAAACATAAAAAGCATACTGCCCTGGAGATAATGATGGGGACGATTAAACATGTCAAAAGTCCTCATCACACCACATCTTTGGAAAACCTGTGTTGTAATTTTATAAAGATTACCCGTGTACCGCTTTTGGCGGAGGTGTTTGTTTTCTTTTAAAGATGGAAGATGCAATTTCTGACGTTTATTTTGATAAAGATATACGATTATACACAGTGTATTTGTCTTTGAATAACATTAGTTTTGAGACTTACTTAACATGTATAAATATCGAGACGCAGCACATTTGTTTTAGACAACTGACATGTTCCTACATTTTCCGTGTGGAATACCGGTCACCTCACAACCATGTGACATGACAGACAGTTTAATTTGATTAATTTCACGATAGTTATGTCCTTTCCTTATTAGTAGCATACCGACCTCATCAATAGCTTTCCTGACAGTCTTTCCAGTCGCGTTTTTCAAGCGTTCTTTTGTGAACGTGTATAAATAACATTATGGATATATATGATATGAAAAACCCAACTCTTTTAACTTTCAACAGAATTGGAATGATATTGACAACAACACTAAACATTTGTTCTATGAAATTATTAATTGTTTAATTCTGTTATATGGTATGGTGTGGATTTCATGTTTATTTGTCAATTTATCTAATTGTGTGATATTTATCTATCATGGACTTTCTTTCTGAATATATGGTTATATTTACCTGAGAAATATTAAACGAGAGATGGGGGAAAAAGAAAACACAAACGACATGAGTTTATATAATTAGTTTACTGATTGATACAATCTGTTTGGCAACATGTGATGAGTGACTCCTAGTACCCTGCAGCTAAACACTGTAAAACAAATAATCCCCTGTCTCGTTTACATATACACAACATCATAAAAACGTGACATACATCAGATTTCTACAAGTGTATTTAAACCACCCACTATAATGAAATAAACTTCTTAACTTTCGCGAGCGATTTGTCGTTCATTTACCTTAATGTTGGAATAATTAAATGAATCGATAGAAAAATAAATGTAACCAAGATAATTCGAAATTATTTAAAAAAAATGTGTGAAATTTGAAAAAAACCACCGTGAAAATAATTGAAGCACAGATCGACTCGAAAAATATACGGTACACAGTATATACCTAGAGAAATAATATCCTATTAATAAATACATATGGTAATTTAATCTCACCGAACAAAAAATCCCCAGGGAGGGAAAATAAACGAACATGTTTTACCAAGCACGATATAATACTGTGACGGAGAACTAAGACTATTATATCTATATATGTCACAGTGTCCCCTATTGGTTAAGACATATCACATGATCATGAGACAAATCATCATATCCTACGGTCCTGCCTACTCGACGCTGACCAAAAACTATGTCTCTCAGCTTGTCACATCGAGAAACTCTCTAAAATAACGCAACAGTTCGTACCCTTACATACATCAACAACCATGACCGACTATCAACCGTCCAAATCTAATTTTGTTGTGATAATATAGTTTCTGTACTTGTTTATTGTTGTTTGTTATTAAAACTGGACAATTACTCAGAATATGTTCTGTGTGATTATGGTTTTATTTAATTATTACACAATACATTGCTTGATTTGAATATTTGTTTACCTTTAGCAATAGTATCAACAAAGAGCGAAGGAGCGCTTCAAATAAACAAACTTTCATATCACCCTATATATATATATAAAGCTAGAAACAGGACCGTGTATGCATAATATAACGTGACATGAATATGAATTAATGTCCCTGAAAATCCATACAGAGTTGAAACAAAGAAATGAAATAGTCTGATATTGAAAATAAACAATTACAGAAATGAAATATAATTCTATTAATTGATATTTTGTGATAGCAATCGATACGTGTGGATGCAAATTACAAGTTCGGATACGATTGGCACAGTATGTACGTGACGGTGTAGTGTGTTGCCCTCGGGCGCCCACTCCCATGTAAAGCACCGCCATTGATTAACCATGCAGTTTTCTCTTGGGTGTACTTCTCTCCTGCTTCAATGCAAAATCTAGATTTTTTAATTGATCTGTTCGAACGGAGGATAATAAAATTCAGAGCAAAGACGGATTTCCGGAAAACGTCAACAGTTCAGGAAATTGAAACCAAGTATTCGATGCCAATCTAATCGCAATTCTGTAATTGCAAAGTTCCTTTTTTAAATATAAGGGGTATTGTTTGATTTACAATACAGTCCTCTTACAGTAATTTCCGGTCCTTAATGAGACGAAACGTTTTGTTTTCTTATCGAAATCGTCCATATGCAGATAGACTGCAGAATAAAATGAACAATCGAAGCACACTTTTGCTGTTTTGTTTTGATTACGACCGATTCATCAGCACTGACGTCAACTCTATGATAAAATCAAACAAAATCCTACGACAAATGCCAATAATGGATAAATGTTTGTTCTGATAACGAATGCAGCATTTGAAATACCTTGTTAATATTCAAATTATACATTAGTTTTCGTACCATTTCTAAGCAGTTTGTATATCCTACACAACATTATTTCTCGTTGCTGAAGCAATAGCAATTGATTGAGTGTTTTTTTTTAATTCGATGTAATGACTATATGATAAGCAAAAACCGGAAAATATTAACGTCAAGATGAAAAGGCAGACTGAACGACTATCGATCGATCGATTGATTGATTGGATATTCACGTTTTAAATCCGCTGAAGTATTCTGACGACGAATGAATGGGCGAAATATGGGAAATTATGTAGGGTTTGTACGGAAGGGTACAATAATATGAACCGGAAGTTATTAAGTGTAACCAACTTTTGGACCGTGGTAGGGGAGACACATGCTCGACGTCAGCGTCGCAAGGGTCAACAGTTGCACGCGAGCTCGTAAATTATTTTAAAATGACAATAAACTACACAGTAAACCTTTCATTACCAAGGCCTATATCTGCTTACACTATCTTACTTATATCTACCAAAACACGTCCAATAATGAATTTCAAAGGAAATACTCTTGTCCTTATACTCACAAAGAGGCTTTCAGATATAATGTTAACTGATGAAAACAAATATAAGCAAATGCATTCATACTTGTATATTGAATTATCCTTGAAGACACAAAATCGAATTTTTACTCTAACAGAAACCACAACTTCTTTCCAAAGTGGCAATAAACCGTAACTACCATGGCAAATATAAACACACAAATAATATATAAAAAACTAATGATATGGATTCTAATGAATAATGTATTTCGGTGTGGTCTATCAACACTCTAGAGCGCTTTTCAGTAATACTATATTCGTGCGAAGTCAACAACTATTACATCAACTATAAATATATTTTTCTTTCCAACATCAACCGGAGCTAACTGTCCAGCATAAGATACAATATATATTACCACCATATTAAGGTGATAGTGGTGGTGGACATCTGACCATATACATAAATCCGCCTCGGAAATTGCCGACAATTCACGATTCATTTAAAATCTACATATAAAATGGCTGCCAACTTTTGACAAGTCATATAATTCCACATCGGAAACTTGCGAAATTTGACAAGTCACACAGATAAAACCACGGCAGAAACTTCCGGTTTTTGACGAGTTATATGATCTCAATCGGAAATAGCCGACTGATGACAAGTCACATACATTTCCATCGGGAATTGCCGACTGTTGATGAGTCAAATAAATCCCGATCAAAAATTGCTGAGTGATGACAAGTCACATAAATTCCCATCAAACATTGCCGATTGATGGCGAGTTAGATCAATTCCAATCGGAAAATTTCGACCGATGACGAGTCACAAAAATCCCTATACGTATCTGACGACTGATGACGCGTTACATTAATCCACAGTGGAAATTACAGACTGATGACGAGTCACATTAATCCCAACGAAAACTGTCGAGTAAATACGAGTCACATCAATCACAATAGGAAATCGCTGATTGAGGAAGAGTCACACAAATCCCAATCGGGAATTGCCGAGTGATGACGAGTCACATAAATCCCCATCGAAAACTACCGAGTGATGAGGAGTCGCATAAATCCCCATCGGAAATTGCCGTCTCTTACAGACTCGCATAAATTTTTCCGGAATATGCCTTCTTCTGACGATTCATATTCATCAGCTTTAGAAATTACTGATCTATGACGTGTTGTATTATCCAAACATGCGTAAAAACAAACGCATGGAAGACGTATGATTTTTGTTATCTCTGACAGCGTTGGTTTGTCTCAGCTGTCGACTGACACCTTTTTGATGGTAGGATAAATCATTAATAGAAAAATGGAGGAAACAAAAGTGCCCAGGACAAAAACCCAAAACAAAAACCGGTCTATCACTTCGGACGCTTCCATCCAGCGTTTCGCCAATGCGTCCGATTTCTCTTTCTCTTCTTCCTTTAGAATAAGAATTTGAAGACGATTTAAAATTTCCTGAAGTTCCCAATTTCGATCTTCTGGATTAAATCTCGCATTGGCATTACCTGCCGCCCGATGCTCGCCATTTTCATATTCTATCAAATTACAACCGGAATCGTTTGAAAAGGTTGTTTTCATATGCCTTGTATAATTATCCCTCATGCCGTTTCGAAGCTGCTCTAATTTCACTTCGTCCATGTTGTCAGTATGGATATGTGCGAGTTTCATACACATTATTTTACTGAGGAATACGACAAATCCTCTGAAGAATGATGGCAGATCTGTTTCCTTAAATCCACGCTGGTTTATGTTGGAGGTCACAACGGCCAAAATGACGGACATGGAGGTCAGAGCCATCACTGTGGTCAAGTAAATTCCTGAAAATACAAATATATATTCACATATGAAAGGTTTACATGTAAGTACATTAAATTGTAAATAGTCAATAACACAAAGCCAACTATAACGCCATACTACGATGAAAGAGGACCACAGGACCTGTAGAGGTTCCCCATGAAAGATAAAGAATCAATAAACAAAGCCACCACCTCATTATTAAAACCAATATTGGATCATCAAGAGAAAGATCAGTGTGATGAGAGAAAAAGAAAATATCTTAGTAATCTAGAGCTGTTTTTCAAAAATTGGACAAAATAATATACCACTTAGACAGTGTTTAAAATACATCATTTGTACCGATATTCCTTAAAATTGGCTTTTTGGATCTTGAAAAGAGGTCGAAGAAGGCGGTCGGTCGAACAACAGAGAGTACCTTACTACTTTATTGCCTTACGAATATACCTCCAAATTATCATTGGACAGAGGGTTACCTAATGTCTGCTGATCTTATATCAATGTCAACGAGATGCTTACAGTGCGGTTGTTTCCGTGGTTACCAAGTTTCCACGTAAAACTATATCATGATTCTCATTGTAGTCAGTGTACATTTTTTCTTTGATCATAAACTAAAGGACGTAAAAAAGATCTACGTAAACTAATAAATGTTTTAACAGGAAAATGAGAGGGAAAATACAACCCTTAAGACAGGTGTTTGCGTGTCGGATGCCTTCGAATGTTTAGGTCAATGGGGATCAGTGACTTCGGTTCTGGCACAGCCTCTATTGTCAACGCACAGCAAAAACCCTCCTAGAAGCGAAGCTTTATACTTGATTTAGCATTCCGATGTCTAGCAGAACTTGTATCAAGGTTTTTCTCGCTGCACCGAAATGCAATATTGTGGTTGTTTGTATGTTGCTTAAAATAACCTATATTTGCCTTTCTAGAACGACCCATATGCTTCAATGCTTAAATGAGTGACGCAATATTTCCAGACAACATGTCAATATCATAAAGCCTTTGTCCTTCCCAATTACATTAACAGGGTAACACAATTTAGTGGGCCAGACTTTGGTCTGGATTTGGGGCATTATTTGCCTGATATACAGTATCAACAAATCCTCTTAATCAGGGTAAACTATCCTACCAACATATAACCTAACCCTAACCCTAACCCTTACCCTAACCCCTAACCTAAGTCTAACCTGTTGCCACTGGCATGTTGTCTCACGTTAGGGGAGGGAAGGGCATCATTCTGAGTGGTAGAGCTCAGGCCTTGTCCGATAACCAGGCCAACTCGTCCTTACAATGGACTACGTGCACGTGTAAGCCGCACTCAAATGAGTACACACGTCGCCTACCAATAGCCACCAACCATAGACGCTAGACGTAGTTCAGACCAATAACAGCCCGAAACGGCATACAACTCCGCCATAGAAAAAAGTCCAGCGCTGATATCGTTGTTAATTGATTTTATCGCGTTGCCTTTGCTAGCGTAGTCAAATATATTAATCATTCCTTCATTACACTCTATCTCAGTGGCTTCGTGGTATTTTCTTTAAGAAAAATGCTGTTTGAACATTTGTATTACCCGTTGGCTCTGTTAACACTAGACATCGGTTTATTTCAGAATATTTTATTGTACTGATCTTACGTACAAAAGGAATTGGGCAACAGGCATAGCCTATATAAGCCCTCTCCTTACAAAACATAACAGTATATACATATCACATAAATGTTACTTTTACAGGTGTTTCTTTAAGTATTAAAATAAGAGATTATTTGTACTTTGAATTTGATTTGACAATACATATTTCAAATATCACAATTGTTATAAAAGAGAATATTTTACAAAGTTATTTGAGAATCTAATAAAAACGTCTAGTGTCTCTAATGTAATTCTGAACCGTCTCCACAATATTTATATTCATATTTACGTCTCGTGATTGGAAACCATAAATAAAAGTTTGGGTATTGAGTGGAATAGCATCACTCATCGCTGACAGAGAGTTAAGTAATATTAGTCGTTGGTTAGTATAAAAAGGACAGTGCAGGAAAAAATTATCACGATCTTCGAAGGGGGAGCCACATATACAAGCAGGGCTATCATTTAGATGTGCATTAAATAAATCTGAATTTAAATTACTTGCAGAATTTCTTAACTGACATAATGTTATGTTAATTTTTCTATCACCGTGATATTTACAAATGTTACTACATATTGGGTGAACATCATCCATATGGATGAACGTAAACATTCCTTTCTCAGAGCTCGAAGAGATGTCATAGTGGGAAACAGACAGGCTGGATTGTTCCATCCTGACATAAGTTTTGGAAAATAACTAGAGTTATATAAATGCGTTCTTGGTACTGGAATGTCAAATAACCTATTGTGTCGAAAGTTGTAATGTTCAAAGTTATTAAGAAAGGACAGTATCAAGTGTTAGACATGAGATGGACAATTGTTATTAAAGAATTTAAAAAATGCAATATTTTGATGTAAATGTCTTCTTTTACTAAATTTAACAGAGCCAGTCTCCCTATATAAAATGTTATGGCTCGTTCCTCGTCTTAAACCAGAAATAATGCGTGCTGCTTCAAGTTGGATTGACTCTAAGACGTTGCACTCTCTCTGGGAACAGTTAGCCCATACAATATCAGCATATTCGAGGATTGGACGAACATATGATATATATAAATATTGTTTCAAGGGATTTTCTATCAATCTTAAATTTTAAGATTCTAAGTATATTCAGTCTTTTATATGCTTTTTCATAAATATAATTTATATGAGTTGACCAGTTGGCTTTGCCATTGAAAATAAGACCAAGGTGTTTATGATCAATAACGTTATCAATAACTGCGTTATTAAAAAATAGATTAGGATGCAACGTGTCAGAGCCGACCCGCCTTGAGAAAAGTAGCGCCTCCGTTTTATCCGGATTGAAGATGATACCCCATTTATCTAGACATCGGCTTAACGACAGTTGAGCCCGCTGTGTCGACATGGAGATGACATTAAACTTTCCTGACACTGACAGACCAAACTTCAATGTTTAAAGTCGTCATAGCGACAGAAGTCATGAGGTTCTGAAGGGAATTCAAAGTCGTGAGAAGAAAAGAAAAAAATGTCTAATTTTTATCGCCGGCGACCCTTTTAACGATTTACATCGCGCCGATCTGTCATTACGGTTTTTCTTAATGTTTAGGTAGGAATGTAACGACGAAGAACATGCACGCCGGGTATAACGACAGTACGATCCCCTATTGGCACTGGATCTGAACAAGTAATATCGACAGTACGGACAAAGGAATATGTCAAATTGTCTAGGCAATCTGCCCTTTTTTCTTTTCAAGACAGAAACATGAACATTTACCTATCACGTCATATAACACAGAGATAGACAGTCGCTAGGAAACAATACTTCAACATAAAATGCATAAATAAAAAATCAGTAATCATTAATGTAATATGCTGATGCTATCGCAGATCCCTGCGTTCAGCTTATAGCCGAAGTGTTCACATCACAACGTTTGTTTTATTGGTTCATATGTATTATTTTTATTCCTTCTTTTTGTCTTAACATTTTTGTACCATTCTGCAATTGAAGCTCCGCTGAGCCCGAGTTGCCTCCATGTGCTCGTTGCTTTTTGATGCAAGAGTAGATTGTAGATTTTTATGTGTACCAACGCTACATTTTACACATGTAGATGTTAGTTTACTTTTTATATGATTACATTCAGCTTTAATATCTTGTTTTTGATCGGATGTTGTTACTCTTTGTAAAAAGTTTGCCTCTTTAAATGGTATTGTCATGTTGGATTTCAATTTCATTTGAAATAAAAAGTCTACTTTCCTCTAAGTCTGAATGATTTAAAAAGAAAGTAAGTATTGCATAGTCAAGAGATTTTGAGTTCTCTCTATTGTGCGAAGAAAGTATATTTTTATCGACTCGAAACTAAATAGCTCAGCTGGGAGCAAGTAAGAATGTTGTCTGCATCACTTTTTAAATGGTTGATTTATTTCTTACAAGCCCATAAGCACACTAAGGTCATACGGTTGTAAGTAGGTGGACGCTTGGAGTGCCGGAAACAGGCACCTAAGTACAAAACCTGTAAGTAAAACACAGGAAAGAGCGATCTCTGGTGTTGCTATGGATGATGCCATTTTTTGAATGTCTCCTAGTAGAGGACACGTGACTTTTGGTCAAGGACACTTATTTAAACAATGTTATAGCCCTTCAAAGCATCAATTTCCAAGTAAAATACGTTCACCTTACCATACGATTATTAAGAAAAAAATATAGGAAATTCTGACAATGAACAGACGGTCTCTCCAACGTGATATAATTTCACACACATTTCATGTCACGTGAGCTATCACTAAACTGCAATTAGAGGAAAAGTTTATGATTGTAAGACCCAGTTGTTTATCAGCATAATTACATATATTGAGATAGGTACTCCCTCGGTGATAACTCAAAAATACACCGTGTCGTCATAGTTGGGAGAACTTACTTTAAACTAAAATATCGAATATCTTTCCAAAAAACTGTTAATATTTTCATATGAATAATTAAGACTAATCTTATATACTTTGGAAAACGACGAAATTAGCGAAATAATGATTTTTCTTATCTTTTTAGTTTAGTTCCACCGGACCATTTTTTATGACTACGTAATTCACCAATGAGTAAAACATAGATTTGTAAAATGAAGGCATTACTGTATATTAAATTTATATATTTGAAGCTGAAATCCACTGGGTCAATATTTTTATGACGACTAAACTCACCGATGAGAGGAACAAAACTGGACGTCGCCGGCATATTTTCAGCAATCAGCAACATGAACACAGAAAAAGCCAATAGCACGGTCAACCCCAAAGTCACTTTCTCCCCACTGTCGGGCCTCATCCAGAACCCGAGCAACGTCAGCACAGATAACATTACACAAGGAATAATGACGTTGTACGTATAATATAAAGTCCTCCTGCTGATGTGTAGTGTAAACGTCACATCCGGAAAAGATTCCGGACAGCACTGGTATTTGACGACGTTGCGTACGGCCTTGACATCGATGAGTTCCCATTCGCCATTGCTGACAAAATTTGATAAGTCTATGCTGTTAGAGCGGTTGAACACATCCACTTGAAAACCATCGTAAGCCCATGAACCAACCTTCATTCGGCATATTTGATCATCAAACGGAAAGTAGGTTATATCTATTGCGCATGTGCTTCGGAGTTTGACGATGGGTGGCCAGAAGACATTTCCGTTACTAGAAACCATTGCCAGGGCCTCCATAAAGCCCTGTGTGTAATCCTCGGCACTACAAATACAAATAGACACATTGTGTAATAAAATCACATATTTGAGTTATATTGGTTTATGTTTTAAGATCTCCAGTTATATAAACATCCTAGCACCAATTATCATGGATACCGTGGTTCCAGCTATGACGAGTTTACTGAATGATTGAGATACGAAATTATTTTAACGATAAACGGATGATAATTTAAAATCTATCGACAGAAACATATTTATTAGGTTTTATAATATGTCCTCAGAACTGTAAATATTTTCTTTATGTTTCATTAATATAATCAAAAACAAAAGATTCAAACTATTATTTAGTGGTATGTTTACCTATTTCATGTCAAGTGGGGTTAAGTTCCTTTCAATATTAAGAATGTGGGTTTTGTAGAAATGTCAACGGCCAACACAATAATAATATAAATAACCTTCAACATAGCTCAGAACGTAAAAACGGAAGGTGCCGTTTCCCGCAGCACAACGCCTGCAAAGTACAAACTTGTACATAATGAAAATAAAGTCTATTTGTTATTTGAAAGAATCTGCAACAATATGGAATTAATCAATTGCTATGGCGGGGAACAGGTCAGCAGAATGATCCCGCTGTCAAGATTAAGCGATCGTGATGGCTGGCGACACTTCGACCGACCATGTTTGTGACCCATGACGTCTGTGTCTGAGTCTCACCGGCGCTTTAACCAATGTCCGGCTGATCGTGGTTACTGTTAAATCCCCAACGTTCTTGCTATGATAGGTATTTTTTGTGAGCAAAGTTGACACGTGCACACGCGCGAATCAATTGACCAATGTCCAGAATGTCATGCTACCCACAATGCGTCATTAAACAACTGACAAGGGCCGCCATAGGGGTCATCTCGATCAGTATCGCTCTTTAGTCAAGCGTCCTGGTGAGTCGGATCCAAATCTAAATGATGAATGATTGGGTCTACAACAGCGACGTTTATTCCTATGCATGGTGTTCGATTTAGAAGATTGTTCAGGTTCGCTCGGATCACGGAGAATTGATGAGAGAATCACAACATCTTCGTTAGAGAATAATAACTCCCGCGGTCAGGGTAAAACTGGGCTGTAATGATTTGCCATATTAACTCGTGTCCTGATCGGGGTTGAGACACTACCGACTGTCACGGATAACTGACTTTGGGAAGAAACCATTACATGCGTCATACAGTGTGTAACTGGTCTTAAGGACCCCGCACCACTGCCAGAAACCGTAACTATATGCATTAGAAACTTTTCCAGCATGAGTAACTTTTCTGAAAAGAAACACATACCGTGCGGAACTTTAACGGAAAAAACAACTAAGATTAAATAAACAAATTTTAATTAGCAAATGTGTTCTGAATATATTGATTCAGTGAACACTGGCCGGGATTCGAACTCAGAATTCGACTTCGATTTCAGTTTTTTTTATACTATGGCTCTTACCGACTGATCTACCTGTTCAACGAAAATGTCCTGGCCCAACGGTACTACAATTGTTTCCTAAACGAAATTAGTGCGAGTTTACTGTATATATACGAAAATCTACTATGGAGCGAGACCCATCCTCGATACTCCAGTGGTTACGCTCACTTTGGCTCTCTTATTATAAGTGAGCGTAACCCCTGGAGTATCGAGGATGAGCGGGACAGTATTCCTTACGAAATCTTACCGTCATAACACTAGACAACACTAAACAAATATACTGTATAGGTAGGTAACATTCACTAATGTTTCCCCTCACTGGTGTAACATATAGAATTTAACAACTAAAAGCTCGTTTTAAGTTTAGAAACAGTTACTAATACAAGATAGGTATGTTGTGTACAGTGCAGATGTGTCAGCACGTGCGTTGAATGTGGAGTCCTACTCGTATATTAATCAAACATTAAGTTGTGTTATGGTATGTGGTATGGGTTGGATGTTCGATGAGTGAAACATGCACAGACTACTGTTCTTTATTGCACAATAAGTCTCGGTTTTGACTCTACAAAATACATGCGCACAAGCATTATAATTATCATCACATATTGATGTAGCGAGAAAGTAACAAAATGTAATTATTGGTTTTGATTGAGCAAATATATAATTTTGGTCGAACAGTCGCCGAAACATAGAAAAGAAAGGTATTAAAACACATCTAACGATATTTGGTTTAAGAAAGAAAAAAACACGGGAGTTTAAAAGCTAAACAGGAACCTCCCGAAGAGAGCACGTGTCGTATTGGCATACTCAGACGATAGGAAGGGGTCACATGACGGAGAGAACAAATGGTCATACTTGCTATAGTGGACGGTAGCTTTTATGGGGACAGGTGGACACAAACGCCTGTTATACAGGACGATGTCGGGATACCACGTGACTGTGAGGACGGACATACTTACGTGTTATAGGGAACACTATCAGACTCCGGTTGTTCAAAGGTTGGTTTGAATTAACCGTTGGTTAAAGAAAATTTACAAAATGAATACAGAAAAAATAAGAGCATCTGATATAATTTCACTGCTATACATGTGGTTGAGACAAATAAGATTGATGAATTTTGAGGATTAGTTTTGTTTTGAAAGCCTTCGTGACTTATTGGCAATAATTTGAATATTTCACTAACCACTTGTTAAAGCTAACACATCTTTGAGCGACCGGGGCCTTACAGTTAGTTACGTGACTTCGTGGAAAGCAGGACTCACCTATTGTAGAGGACAATGTCGGGTAGCCACAGACTCTTACAGGGCACTCTGAGGACGGACAGGCCATTGTATTGAGCGGGGTCCCATGTAAGTTTTTCATCGATCCATTCCTACAACAGACACGACAGTCAACATTTCTTGTATCATTGTAGCTTTAGTGACATACAAACCTGTCAAGACTTTCAAATAAACTAATTCAAGATTTTTGAGAAGAAAAAATGTACACTCAAGAATCGGTACTTAACGTTATCGAATTTAGTATCATTTTAATTGTTCCAATTGGAGATCAACTCATTGAGGTAGAAAAGAGAGAAAAAGAGATAGAAAACAAAATTTTGGAAATAAAAATCGGCACAAAAAGGCAACGACTGGAACCAGAGAAAACAATGATCAAAACAAAACAAAAAGCACCATAAACCGCAGCAAAAATATTGAGGCTGAACAATGTGTTCTTTAAGGGAAACCGTTTCTCCAACCAAATTAGTACCAACTGTGTATTTGTATTGTTTTGAATGTTAAGGCATAGTTCAATCTCCTCCCAACTTATTTAATTAAGATACATGTAGTATAATTCTGTGTCAAACCTAATGATATAAACATCAACGAGCTCATGAATAACGATACACTATTTAAGGTATTTCTCGACGTCAGCTGTAATTACCCGTACAAGGTAAGACTTACCTGGTCAAGCCAGATGTTTGTTGTGATCACTTGATTTTTCTCATCCTGAAAGAAAAAGAGAAATATATCAAAATTAACAAATGACGCTTTACAAAATTCAAAGCGATATGGAAACATGTATTTTACATTTGATATGCACTATCGCCATGCTTATTGAACTTCCAAAACGATTGAAATCTTCGTTATAAGATGTAGCTCTTTATTTATGAAAATGTACAAGAAATTCACTTGGAGTTCGCTAAGGTGTCTTACAAAACCCACCAAAAACCCAGCAGTAAACAGAATTTCTATAACCGAAGATGGTATCATAAACAGCTCAAACATAACCCAATTTCACAGCATGGCATCATAAACCAAAAGACTGATCTTATATGACACTTTTCTGATACATTTTTTGAAATGCTCTACCCCATTTTTTAACGTGTGCATGCGCGCGTGAGGTCAGTTAAATTAATCTCAGACATGAAGTGTCAAATGAACAAATAACATTTAAGGACGTGTCTCCATGTGTGCAGTGTATGCGTGATTGCGTGTGTGTATGCAGGAGACAGGGCATGTTGGTGTGTTTGCCTCCTTGTGATCTGATGCCAACTTTATAGTGCTATCTTACTGAAATGCCATGCCGAAGGCACCAAGTACAGCATTCCGCCCGGTCACATTATACTGACAACGGGTGAGCCAGTTGTTGCAATTTTCCTTAATGCTGAACGTAAACAATGGAATAACAACTATCATTTTAAGGACTTTGGTATGTCCCGGTCTGGGAACAGAACCAATTGCATTCCTCACCTGGACAAACGCTCAACAGTCAATCCAAAAGTGAGGTGTTGCCAAGCAAGGCGCTAGGAAATAAAAGGTAGTTAGAAGTAAAAATAAAGATTCCAAATATTGCAAGCGGCGCAGCAGATTTATTTTGGTCGCTTTTGTGTCCCTAAATAGAGGACACCAAAGCAAATCCCCAATTCTGCAGGGGGTTCTACATTAGTCGCCTCCTGCAATACGTGCAGTGGGTAACAGCAGGTGGTTTCTTTTCCCGATCCTCCACCTGCAGGAGCGTTACAAACAAGTTAAAATGTACTCACAACGTCGAATATCTGTGTCAGTGTGATTCCGACTGAGACGTTGACTGAATGAGAGGCGTTAAAAACTGGACGGGTGTTCCGGTCGTAATCTTTCATGAGAACGGTATACAGTCGTTGTTCATCTGTCATCACAGGGGTGCTCTTGTTTATACAGATCTGGTATTCTGAAATAAAAGGTTCCGTATGTCAGAAAAAAAGATATTCCGAAAGTACAATGACTTTTGATCCGCCGAACTTGACCATGTTGGTCAATGGTGATTCTTAAAAAATGTTTTCAATGTATTACAAAACAATTGTCAGACTTTACGAATGTGGGAATTTGAAAGCTCATCTAGGTCAAATCATGATGCCTATTCCAAACTGTGTTTGGGTTGAGAGATAAGTAATAAAGAAATTAGGAGCTAGCAATGTAACTTATTTTCGAATAGGAAACAGCTACACATTGGTGGCTTCTATTATGGTCATATACTTCTGGTGATAAGTTATTACAAGTGAAGTAGTGTTAAACTTTGATCATAAATTCCACGTTCAGACGATAAATTATTTTTATTAAAGTAAAACTTACAAGTAAGATGAACAACTAGAGCAAACCCATTTTGTGAATTTATTGGAGCTCTTTTAACATTTCATTTTATTTTAAAAATAATAAAATTCCGGATTTTATTATCGGGATCAATTGAAGCCGTTCTCATTTTTAGTTACACCATATACGTTTTCCGGTAGGTCTTAAACATGACCGCCTGTGCTTTAATTGTATGCTCAGCATTGTTTTCCTCTCTCTCGTTCCTGGTACCACTAGTGATATACCATGAGAATGATTGCTTTTTCTTCTAAGTGCATTTTTGCTAGGATTTATTTGTAAGCTCATTTATAGAACAAGGCTTTTGTTAACTAACATAGTTAGCTTCTAGCTAGCCGGCGTATACATTTACATTCAGTACACTGGCGTATGAAATATAATATTGTATGCGCTGTTTGTTGCATCTTACATCATAAATGTTTGCTTACATCTGTAAAAGCGGCTATAATACCATGGGGCGCCACTATTGTAACAGGATATTCCTTTTATGATTTTATGAAAATGTATTTTAAGTTGTTAATAAGTTGCATTTTGAGACTCTGCTCGTTATTTAATCGCGAAATTTAGTTACAGTGAATTATAATTAAGTTAAGTAATAGGCATGACCCACACCGATACACCAACGTTGTATAAACAGCATATGACGCATACTGTTCTATGACATTATGGAATTCTTGATATTATGCCAAATTGCCAGGAATCCCGAAATGTCACAGAAAAAATGATGCGCAGTAACGTATGGTATTTCAAATGACTCGATTAAAGGAAAATAAAAATCCTGTCGTTCAGGTCAAAGCGAAGTAATAATCTGTGAAAAAGTCTACAAGGTTTGGCAATGTCTGAGTAATAAGGAATTATTGTTTCCAGTCTGCGAGCTGAGGCTACTTCTGTGCAGTAAAGATCATTGTTTTTATGAGCTGTGGTTATGTTATAGAAATAAAGAGTTCTTGTATCATTTATGAAGCTTGCGAGCATTCGTCATCATGAGAAATCATGCTGACTCGGTGAAAATTTCGTGACAAACTTTGTCATTAAATCTGTTTACACGATCAAAAGAATTATACATCTTACCGGCACCCTGTGCTTTAATATTCATGATGTGCACTCGCCATATAATGCAACCTGCACGATGTGCATGGCGAATAATTTAATCCAGTGTACGCCATTTATCCGCCAGAACATTTTTACTGGGAAAGTTCCGACTCAGCAACCTGTCGGCGGGAACGCTTGTTTGGATATTTGTTAGCTTCCTTAGTCAGCTTACGTACCGGTTTGATATGCTCATTCAGATTTCAAAACTCTCAAGTGAATTGTTTTATAAAAACCGATTAAAGAACAGTGGCGTCGAAAGTATATTTCCGAGTTCATATATAAACATTCAAATTAATCTGTTAAAATCATCTCCAAATTATTGGTCCATAATTTATGTTTTGCATACATTGTTTTGTAAATATTTTTTAATTCAAAGAAAGAAATGAAAAGCGTCCCCAATAACGTGTCCAAAAGCAGAAGCGGGACATTTTTTGTAAACATTAAAAAAGATCAGCATTAAGAAAGCTAGGTTAAAGATAAACAACTTGTAAGCCGTTTCTTGTTTAAGATAACTTATAAAAGACGCAATTATTCGCGAGAATTTTTTCTATATGACGTCCCGTAGAGGCAATACTTTCATCGGCACATTGCATGCTTCATTAATTGATGCTGCATTAATACCGTCACACTACGCCAAGAGGTATAGTATTGCGATAATACCATATTTAAGACTTTCATCTTACATCAGTCTGTTGTTAATATTGATGTATGTTCCGCTGGTGTCTGTGGAGTCGTTTTATTTGGCGTTTAAATGACTTCTACTGAGGAATTATGGACACTTGGTGTCAGCACACCGTGAAATTAATATTCAACGCTGTCATTCTCCGGTGGTTTACAAGCCAACAGAAATTACTTTTTAAACAGGCACAATTAAAAAATAATTAGTCCCTGAATCAACAAGGAGTTTCAAATAGGGCCGCAGAAATCCAGCAAAGTTGTTTATCTTAAGCGTGAAATTGACATTTAATACAATAAACAAAACCTTCAGGGAAATGATTGGTAATTATTACAGCAAACAGGCTCATGTCGTGTCAGCATTTAGCCGGAACTCGCTTCACGCGATGGGAAAACAATAAAGTGAAAAAGGATTGCGTAAAAAAGCCCCACATCTACAGGACGGTAAGGAGGGATTAATGACCTTTAAATAAATCTATAAATTAATGTAATGGGCAATATACCGATTTTTGTTTTGTTTTCTTTACAAGCTCAAAACAGTTCAAAATCGAAGTTTGAAAATTCCACATACAGCTACTGTATACCATGAAATATTCGTAATAATTTCTTTCGTGGCTTGAAGCCATTTATATCGTTTCGTGGTACACACTTCCATTGATACCCCAATATAAACAAAGAGTAGTCAAATATATCAATTAAATTCGTTGTAGTTATTTTCGTGGTTCCATTGCCTCCACGAAAACCACGAATGTTTATATACAACGAACATTTTTTGTTATACAGTATATTAACTTTATTCGTTTATGTGTATTCTGGATTGAAGTAATTTTGATAGCAATGAGTTTAAAATAAACAAAAAAATCAAATTGAAAGCAATGAAAGGATTATGTAAAATTATTTATTATTTTATCAATTTATTTCATCTTTTAAATGTTATTGACATTTGAACACGTTTGTATATTGAAGCTCTATCTGATCAATCATCCTAACGTAACGTTCGCACTTCAAGCAAAGTTCACCGTTTGTAGATGACTCAGATCTGTTGTCAAAACAACTACGATCAGTAACCTTCAAACACAAACATTCGTCTGCTACTAATGAAGCATATTAAAAAAAATACGTTCAGGGCAGTAATGAAAGTATGTAACGATGACGTGACACTGTTTCGAATCTTTTCATTTTGATTATGACATAGCAACTTTTCTGATTGTGAAATGGAGCTGACTACTTTGAATCTGCTATCCACAACTATATCGTTGTTAGTTTCAATCGGAAACAATTGTTATCTACACGAAATGCCTCTAGCGGCTTGTTTAAAACTATACATAGCAAAACCATTCGGAACACCTTGGCCGATTCAGTTCTGTCATCTAACCTCTCATGAAAGGTACTGAAATCGGAGCGAAGTGTTCCGAAAGATAGCAATATTGTTTACATGATGTAATATACTGTGATCATGTTTCAACACAAATATAGATAAATGTTTTCGACTTCCTCATTCAACACTTTGCACATGTGGTAGGAATATAATACAGATTTATATATTTGCCTTAGCCACGTCAGGCTGTCAATATTGAACGCTTGACTTACGGAAGGAAGAATAATATGTTTAATTAGTGAAATATATTTTAGTATATCTTTTTTTAAAACCTAAGACAAGCTGACGTTTTAAACCCTGCGCGGTTTTATATCGTATAAACATGGTTCAGACAAGGTGACGTTTTATAACCTTTGCGATTGTGTATCGTTTATACATGGTTCAGACAAGGTGACGTGCTATCACATTCGCGGTTGTATATAGTATATACATAGCTAAGACAAGGTGACGTTTTATAACCTTCACGGTTGTATATCGTATATACATGGTTCAGACAAGGTGACGTTTTATAACCTTTGCGATTGTATATCGTATATACATGGTTCAGACAAGGTGACCTTTAAAACTTTCGCAGTTGTATATCGTATAAACATAGCTAAGACAAGGTGACGTTTTATTACCTTCGCAGTTGTATATTGTATAAACATGGTTCAGACAAGGTGACCTTTTAAAACCTTCACAGTTGTATATCGTATAAACATAGCTAAGACAAGGCGACATTTTAAACCCTGCGTGGTTGTATATCGTATATGCATCGTTCAGACAAGGTGACGGTTTTATAACTGTTGCGGGTGTATATAGTATATACATGGCTAAGACAAGGTGACGTTTTATCACCTTCGCGGTTGTATATCCTATATACATGCTTCAGACAAAGAGACGTTTTATCACCTTCGTGGTGGTATATCGTATTTACATGGTTCAGACAAGGTGACGTTTTATAACCTTCGCGGTTATATGTCATAGAAACATAGCTAAGACAAGGTGACCTGTTATAACCTTCTCAGTTGTATGTCATATAAACATAGCTAAGACAAGGTGAAGTTTTATAACCTTCGCAGTTGTGTATCGTATATACATCGTTCAGACAAGGTGACGTGTTATAACCTTCGCGGTTGTATATCGTATAAACATAGCTAAGACAAGGTGAAATTTTATAACCTTTGCGGTTGCATATCGTATATACATCGTTCAGACAAGGCGGTATTTTATCATCATCGCTGTATTATATTGTTTGCCGGTGTAGTGGTTTATTTTGGCCCCCTTTCGATCAATGTCCTGCTAAACAGAAAACAAGAAAAAAAAAACACCGATTCTGCAGGAACCCCAAACCTTTCACCTAATATGGTAGCATGCAGTGTGATACACAACAGTCCTAATCCACGCCTAACATACAGGGGTCCTGTGCGGTATATTTTATTTTAATAAGTCAAAAACAT